TGGGCCAGAATCATGAATAAATTAAATAGTGGGTGGGGGGTCTAAAAGTAAAAGTGGGCTTCATGAATAAAGGAATAGAGGCCCCCTAAAAGCTGTTTCTTCCTTCATCATTGGTCTAACATGCCACTTTCTCCTCACTCTTTCTAGCACTTTAATTAGACAGATATGATATTATCTTAGACTAAGACTAAACCTCACTATTAGCTAATCCACTAACTTTTTGACTTAATACCAATTCGAACATTATACTCAATGTCCCTTGCCAACAACTTTGAAGTGAACTCAAGTAATGACAAATGTGACCTCAAATCAAATAACACACCTCCATGCATGCATAAAATTGTTATAGCAATTACATTTGTTTATCTTTATATTTATTATTAAATAAAGAAATGATGAGACTGACTTCCACTACTGGACATACTCATGATTTCATCACCACCAACGAGAAAACTCTCTGCCCTTACTAATCTATCTTCATTTTCATTCTTTGTTCCTGCTTTAATCTACATACTGTACTCCTATTTACACTAATGTTTCTGAACGTTTATGAATCCAGTGGTTTGTCCATAAAACACGGTTATTGACGACAATTAAACCACAATGGGTATGAAACTATGTTAACTTTCTTTTGATTAATCAAGAGTAGTTTGGACCATGCCTTAATCTCTTCTAGGTTTGGAATCAACCGTTTTTATTACCTGATGACATGATGTAAAGCATCCCTCCTAACAGGGACACAACGGAAACAACTTCTTATGCAAAACCACTAACCCAATGCACCACTGGTAACTATACTAACTAGGTTAAGTGTATATCCCACCTTTGACATGTTGAGTTGTGTTTTGTGATAACTATTTAATAAATGGACCATGACTTGATTATATGAAAAGCGAGAAACTCACCGGTACGCGACATTGGTGGTGAAATCTCAAGTTTCTTCTGAAGTAGATATGTGGCTTTGATGACGTTGATGGTTCTTCGAAGCTCCTCCAAGTCCCGGTCACATTTCTCTAACGCTCCAACAAGACTCACCCTCGCCGCATCTCCCTCTCCTTCGTTGCGTGTAAGCGGCGGTTCCACGATTCCTCTGCCGTCTCTGTTTGATGTATCTTCCGGAGGAGTAGCATAGACGACGGTTCTCTCTTCTCGTTTCTTAGATCCCAAAGTGATAGATTTGCGGCGGTTGGAGGAGAAGTTGAAGGTGGAGAGGAAGA